TCAAAAATAACCTACTAAGACTTTAGTGAATACTTTTCTAGCAATCTACTGTACCCTTACTTTTACCCTTTGTGTCACTTTACCCGTCTCCCTCTAGAATGTAAGCTCATTGAGCAGGGCCCTCAACCTCTCTGTTCCTGTGCGTCCATTTGTCTGTTTACAATTACATGTCTGTTCGTCCACACATTGTACAGCGTATTGAATTTGCTGGGGCTATATAAATAATAAAATAATAATAATAATAATTGTTGAATGTAGTGTTTCTTTTACCTAATCCTGGAAATGAGTCTTCTCAATCATTTTTCATCTTGCTCTACTGTCTCCATAGCCTTCAGGACTCTCAGACATCAGATCATTTTGTTCTGTTATTTGGACCATTTCTCCTGGGTTGAGAACTTTCGATTTCCAGAGAAGAGAAAGGCCGGCTGGTGGGAAGTATCTTGAAATCCATGAGGAAAATGTGGTCAAATCAGAATTGCTGGAAATCACACCAATATATCAGTAATATCACAAAGATAATATAAAAATGAATATATGATAATGAATTCATTGCCTGGACCCAGGGATCACTTAAATTCCTGCTGATAATTACCTGTGCTTCAATTTGCTCACTCCTTTTTACTGTTGGCATCAGTAAATGAAAATTTCCACATTCACATTAATACAATTTGGAAATTCCCTCCAGAAATCCATCAGTGGTTACAAGTATCTTAGGCGTGCTTGTAATAGCTTGTAATAGCTGCAAGCAATTTAGGAGACATTCAAATATCCGTGCAGATAACCCAGGTGTGTATTATTGAAGATTTCCTGGTAATAGAGAACATTAAACATTATTATCTCAATATTTAACAAATATGTGTTTGTGAAGTCTGAAAAAATTAAATAAAATGGAGAAATCTGCTCATATATTCACCTCTATCCAGGAACTGCGAGCTTCTATTTTGGTTTTATTTCTATAAACTCTGCCCCTCTGTAACTGAAGGAGGAGAGAAATTGTTTCTGTTCACCTTATTTGCATTGTGTGCCCTAACTGTGCCATGACTGCCCTTGATTGCGTTGTGAATTGTTACATCCATAATATCCACTTAAAGGAAAAGAGAGCATTGCACAAAAAAACACTATAGGAGATTTTCAATGGTTTATTGACTAATGTAATGATGCTGTCTCCCTTTAGGGAAAATATGATGATATAATGAATATAATGATATGTAATGAGATAAAGGGCTGAAAATATACACAATACAACATAAAGAGTGAGGTCTTTGACTAAACATTGCACAGGATGTGATCATTGTGACCTATTGCCGTGACCTCAAAGCATACTTGGGCACACGTTATAAAATAAATGCACGCACAGATGTTAATAAATTGTAGTACATAATGACAGGTACATAGAGACAATGGCTTCGACATAGAAACAAAGGGACAATGACCGAGACATTAAACCAATAGGACATTGACCAAGACATTAAAACAATGAGACATATACTGAGACAATGTACTAGTGGGACATTGACCGAGACATAGAACTAACAGAACATTGACCAAGACATAGAACTCATGAGACATATACTGAGACAATGAACTAGTGGGACATTAACCGAGACATAGAACCAACAGAACATTGACTAAGACATAGAACTAACAGGACATTGACTGAGACATTAAAATATTGAGACATTGACCGAGACATAGAACTAACAGGACATTGACCAAGACATTAACCCAATGAGACATTGACTGAGACATAGAACTGACGGGACATTGGCTGAGACATAGAAACAAAAGGACATTGAACAAGAAATTAAGCCAACGATCCATTGACAAAGACATTAAACCAACATGACAGCGACTGAGACATAGAACCAATGGGACATTGGCCAAGACATTACACCAATGGGACATTTATTGAGACATTGACTAATAGGGCATTGACCGAGACATCGAACTAATGCAACATTGACTGAGACTTAGAACCAAAGGAACATTGCCGAGACATTAAACCAACGAGACATTGACTGTGATAGAAATAATGGGGCATTGACCGAGACATAGAACTAACAGGACATTGACCGAGACATAGAACCAAAGGGACATTGACCAAGACGTAGAACCAATGGGACATTTACTGAGATAAAGAACCTATGGGACATTGACAGAGACACAGAACCAATGGGACATTGACTAAACCATTAAACTAACATTGACCGAGACATTGATTAACTGGGATGTATGTTTACAGTGTATTATTTTAACATGGTTTTATAACATTTACCTTCCTCCTCGTATTATGGTAATTATAACCACAAAAGCTTTGGGGGGAAAAAAGAACTGGTTGGGCTACTCTTATATTACTTACAAGAGGGAAGTGCCTTTACATTTGTATTTATACAGAGTCAGTATATCGTGATAATAAATTCCATGCATGCATGCATCTTTCCATGCAGCCTAGGAGCATGCATTGTTCCAGCACACAGAGAAATCTGCTTCTAAGCTATATAAGCTGCTGTGTCGTACTGGTCCAGTAAGGTAAAAATAGCAATTTTAAGTAAAAATAGAATTTTTTGGTAAAACTCTTTGTATTAAAGCCCACCCCCATTATTGGATATAATCTATAGATAAAGCTTTAAAACAAAAAAAAAAACAATCTAAATCTTAAAAGGTGATGATTCATTTTTAAACATGAATTTTATTCACATTAAATAAAGAAAATTCTATAAATTACCGCACTATCACTTTTTTCTTGTGTGATTTTTATAAGGAATTTTTTACAATAAAATCTCTCACAGTTCACACATGACAAGCAGACTCATGTCACGCTAAACGCTCCAGTCAGAACCTGCTGTTATGTTCCTGTGCCGGACTCAGTTACAGCACACTAGACTATATATAGAACTGCTATGGCCGAAGCACACAGAGTGAGTGCGACCATTTATACCTTACTCTCACTCACCTCATCCACATTTACAATGGTATTCCCAAGGACAGGAAACGTTCAGTGATTAGTTTTTATGTATATTATTAATCCTACAAGGGCATATTTAGCATTCAATTGAACTATCAAAACTCTTTAATGTTTCTATTAACCAACTCAATGATACTCATTATATAAACCTTGGATCCCTAATCATTGAGTGATTGAGTGGTATTTGTGACGAACTGAACCTCGTCACGAGATCTTGGAGCCTCTTGCCAAAGGACTACAGGCCAAGTCAACAACTGTAAAGACTCATATTTTATTCCCGCTGGTTCCCCTGGTTCGGTACTTTCCATAGAACTGAACGCTAGCTCCCTGGCGACCGTTCGCATGGACCAAAACCGCGAATAGACTTCAGGGGGACTGCCCTGGAACTATTTTTGGAATGAAGACTTCATGGGTTCTGGTCGATCCCCCAGCGGCACTTAGCCGTGATTCTATGGAACCATTTTGGGCATGGGACAATGCGTGCGGTTGTTAAAAACTATGACTTCCAGGAAATTCCAGAACCCCTGAACTGATCTGCCTGATTTTTGGATATGTTGGTCACCCAGATCAGGGCTGTCAGGGGATGTATAATTTATGGGGATATGTTTGTGTTTTGGGGTGGTTGTCGACTTGATATTTTCTACCTGTGGATAATTAGGTTATTCCATTAGCTAGCTTAATTTGTGGGGATTTTATGTGTTTTAAGGTATTTTGGGGGATTTGTAAAAATGTATGTTTTTGGGGTTTGGAGATAATTGAGTTTAGTATAGTGCTTGACTCAATTATCTCCTATGTAAACAAGAAGGCTTATTGTATTGTAACACTGCTATTATTGGTCTGTGACTTTGTAACGGAGTTCCCCACAAAGTCCATGTGGGAGTGCCCCTTGCATGGGGATTGTCATAAAAGGCCAAGTGTGGTACCCTCAACACAGAGCCTCGCCTTGTGTTCGTAGGGGAAAGCTATACCAGCTATAATCTTGGGATTGTTCTTTGGAGTGTTAAAATCACTTGCTCTTTTAAGAGCAGCCTGCTACACTCTCTGGAGTAGGAGAGGTTCACCCACTGGAAGCTGGATCCTGGTCTTAGGTCCAGGGTGGGTGGAGGACGAACCCCAGCCAAGCTGTAATGCTGGAAGTAGGGACTATGGTGCTGATTGTACCTGGTGGAGTGCTTGGAGTCCTCGGTGAGCACTAGGAGCATCGATTGGCGGAGGCACCCGGTCAGAGTGCCAGGCAGTCTGTCACAGTATTCATTTTACTTTAGATTGTGAGCTCGCTGGGTAGGACCCTGTACATCTATAGTTCCTGTTTAGCTCAACTTGTTATTTGGTTTTTTTTGTTTTTTTAATATTCCCATTGTACATTGCTGCAGAATATGTTGGCGCTACATAGATAATAATACACGGAATGTAGTGTACATTTGTTTCTGTTTGTGAAGTATTGCTGAAACATAATTCCAGTTTGTTAAAAGAAGAGCATCATATATTGAGCAGGATATCACAGTTTACGAGCTCTCACTTCTCCTCACTACTTCCCACTGCCATTTCCACAAATCCCTTTTCAGGTATTGAAGGGATTAATTGAAAGCAACTGATGGTTCCTCCAAGCACTTCTTTGAAGTCTGGCTGGGGTTGAGTTACCAACATTCACTTGTCCTGATAATTAAGTGACGATTGATCAGACAGCAGAAGATGTTCAGACAGATGCGGTCAGTGTACGAGGGGTGTGAATAAATTACAAGATGACAACAGTTGCAGCCGGTGTGACTATCCTCTCACATCGAGGACCACCCCATGCCCATGTCCTTAGCAAATTATTGATGTAGCTAAGAAAGACAGAGGCTAATGGAGAAGCTGTCTCACCAAGTCGTAGTAGAGGAACGTTAGGGAGAGAAGTGTGGAACAGACAGGCGGACTAAAATTTCCAAACACTCATGAAAGATTCAAAGACGGCACTTGTTAAATTTAATTGGGAGAAACCCGATTCACTGTCTAACTGTACGGTTTGTTGGTTTTTACTTAAGAAGTCAACTGACAAGACTGTCTGTGTTTACTTTGCTTCTATTACCCTTTCTCGCACGTTCCTCCCCCCTCTATTCAATTTTCAATGGCCTATTTCGTGAATAATTCAACACATTATCTACTCCAATCACCTGCCCTGTGTGATTGCTTCTCTATGGGTTTTATCAGCCTTGCCAGTACTACCTCTAGAGTCACTTAAAGGAAATGAGAAGTTTAACCCCATCATTGTCAGCAATTTTTAAATACCTCACAACCAAAAGATGATTTCATTCTTGGGCAAATTCTATTTAAAAAAAAACAAAAAACAATCCTTTTCACTTTTGATGTATTGCCATTGAAGCCACGTCTGTTTTCAATTCTCTCATTAAACCTCTCATAAACATGTTCTTTACTCATGACTATTTAAACGTTGTTAAGTATGATATTTCCGTGACATCCTGAAAGTTCATAATAAAAATCTGCCTGATCCAGTAAATGAAATCTGACATTAAATGCCGGAAGGAAGGAATACAGGGTTAATTCTAAATCCTTTGTGGAGCACTGGAAATTGCACAATCTAGAACATGATAGTCGAGTTGTAAATGTAGATTACTTGTCCGGCTTGGCTTATCTATTGTTCGGTTTAAATTTTGCAAGTTTGGTTTTCACTCCACCACAATTCAGAGTGTGTTTGAGTAAACCTCCACATTTTGCTATTTATATATTTCCATACTTTTATTACTGATGTCATTCCACAGGGCCCTTTAAGATTTGATAGTCCCTCTGAGCATGTTCCGTGCTGTCCGCTCCCACTGATACCCACTAAGGACCTCGTGCTGGCAAGTCATGGACCAGAGGCAGACACGGCCCACCAAACCTAGTCCAATAGTCCACTAAATGTGCAGAGAACTGTCAATGGAAACAATCGGATGTCAGATGTGATGGTTCCTCAGGAAACAATTGACCAGGAACCAGGCTAAGCTGTTGTTACTTATTGCTATGATGATGCGATGTAGGGAGCAGCCATGAAGAGGATGAAGTCAGGCTGATGGTGTGCCAGGTTAACATGCTGCCCTGCCAGATAGCCACATAAAATTGCCCATGTGCCATCTCCATGGGGAGAAATGTCCTGCTACGGCCTTGAGCAGCTGAGAGGGTGCTTAATAACATGCTCTGCTGACTGCTGCAATTTTTGGGGATTCTCATGTCTGTTGATCAGCAGCACACATATTTCAAATTAGGACTGTCCCAATAGATCCAGGACTGTTGTACAATATGTGCAAAGCTCCCAGGAGAAGAAGTGGAATTTTTAAAATATGTCTAACACAGGACACCTAATGGTCATTGGCAGAGATGCAATTACATCGCTAGCTATTCTCTCCTCAGAGCCTGCCCACCCATCCCTACCTCAAGCCTCCCAAAGTTGGGACGTACGTAGCACTTACCTACCTCGTCCACAGTGTCCATTCTTACAGAATTACTACAAGGTCCCATAAATAAAGTTTATAAAAACAGGAATTGGAGCTGGAATGCTTTTGCATTTATTTGTTGGCGCTATATAAATAATAATAATCATCTACATATATTGCCTTATATTGTTACCATGATTATCTGTTTAACTGAACAGTCAGTGCAATATATTCATAGAACCCCAAAATAAATATTTAGAAATGGGTAAAATAAACAAACATCAAATCCAAACAGAAAAAATCTACTTGTGAAAGATTTTTACAAGAATAATCTCTATTTTGCTGATTCAGAAGAATTTGATCTGATGAAACCTGCACGTATTCTATAAGACTGAACGTGTTGTCTCAGAATATTGTATCCGACCCCACCATATGGCAAAACACAGTGCAGCCTTGTTACATCTGGGGCTGATGTGTTACTGAGCAAATTACTGCTCAAGGTGTGATCTCACTTCCCTCAAACTGGCACCAAACACGTACATACACGAATCTGCATACTAAATCTGTTCCCCGTCCTCCACAATGCAAATTAATCAGAGGTATTACAATCGTGTGATACAATTGTGAAACTCAATAAGAAACATTGTCAGCTTTCATTTAAGTTGGCATCAAGCAAAACAAATCCGGAAGAGCTGGATAGAGAGAATTTAACACTTTGATCACCAGTGCAGTAAGATTGCACTTGGTTACCCATAGAGAGGGACGGAATGGGATTTTGCCCCACCATTATATCACCACTAGCTGCCTCGCAAACTCAAAGTGAAATGATGACACACAACGCAAGAGAAAGTTTATACTATTAATAGAAAACGTGTGGTTTTAAGAACGATTGAAATGTTTCTACTCAAAACCAAATTCCAACAACGGAAAAATCATTGCTGTGTTCTCACTTCTCACAGACATGTGAGCCCGGTCTAGATCCGATACATCTTCTTATAGGATTCATGAATACACAGAAACACATAGATACCGCTGCAACGCGTCTCGTTAAACATGGGAATGCACGCAATGTGTTTGTGCTGAATCTCACTGCAGCACAGAATAACATTTTTAATATTTCTAGGTTAATAAAATACATTTTTCACACAGCTTAATATTGTTTGCTGCAATTCTATCTTAGTAAATGTCACAGCACACAAGTATATACAATGTCTATTCACTATTTGATTAAATCCAACAGGTGATTCAATGTGAGCATCACAAATCTATCATTTTCTGCATTTTTACTGATGTGAAATCTTATAGGGACACTCCAAACCTCTAAAACACAGGAAGCGTGTGTTTGCTTTTTTCATCTTACAAAAAGTGCAGATTTCAATAGAAATTGTCACTTTTATAAATTGACCTGGCTGTCAATCAGATAACCGGTCCTGTTACTTCCTGGTTTATTTAGCTCAATGGAGCTGAATTCAAGAGGCAGCAATTGCCCAGAGCACCTGCCTTGTAAAGACTTCTCATTGAGCTGCATTGGGAAGTCTGTGATTGGACAGGCACAGAAAGTCTGGGCGGTGTTAGAAGGGGAGGGCTTACAAAAGCAGCAGACAAGAGATCTGGAGTTTTTGCAAGCTGTTTTAGATATAACTCCAATATAGAAAGATGTTACCGGTATTTAACTTAAATGCTGGACAGATCTAAATTATTATTAAGAGTTACTCCAAGCACCATGAGCACTTCAGTGATTTGAAATGGTCATGGTGCTTAAAGACTATATGTGCATGGTTTCACCATGAAATGCTGCATTTATGGAGATTATACCCTCTGTTGCAGGAGTTGTAACTTCACCTCTGGCAATGTCATTGGGGTGTCATCAGCCAGCCTGAAACTCGTGTTCCAGTTGGCTAATGTAAATTCTATGCAAAAAATTGCAGTCATTGGCTGAGAGGAGAGGAAGATATTGTGTGATCTCTGCGGCTCCACATACCAGTGAGAACTGCATTTTTAGGACGCCTGTGTGTTAATGAAGATGGCACAGTGATTTGTGTGCCATCAGGAAAATCTTCTACTGGATCTGGACCTTCCCTGGATTCCAGCTCAGGTCATGAAGCAGCCGAAAAATAGGTCCAAAGCAACCACCTCGTCTTTGCATTCCTGCTGCTAAGATGTTCACTACGTACGTTTCTCTGATGCTTTCATTCAGAGTTCTCCATAAAGTTCATTCCACATGGCCTAGTTGAAGACATAGACCAGTTGTTCAAGGCACGAGACTCTTGGGAACCTCGAGTAAGTGTAACTTGATTGTACGATGGCTGAAAGTTGTAAAAATGATGCTATAGTTGTGCACCTCAGAAAAAGCAGTTGGTCCAAGACGATAAACCATGATTACAGATAGTGTTCCAAGCAGACATCGAGGGCCTCAATTTCTTTAATCTGTGAAGAACCAATCACTAATTTTAAAAATTAGGTAACTAAATAACAGAAATGTGAGTGAGAGACTTCTGGGAGCTTAGTGAATACATGTTTTAAGAAGTGTTTTATTGAATTCCTCACATAATTATGATATATTGTCATTTTAGAAGACCCAGGAGGCCAGGGTAAAACAATAAGAGATCTTTCTGATCCGTGAGGGGGTGGGTTTTAAGAATTATTATTGTGAGAAGTTTGGGTACAGTGTTTAAGGAGATATGTACAGCTGATATAATCTATGAGAGGGATTGGGGAATTTCTGATTCATCATGAGAAACATTGAAGCTTTTATTATTCTTTTATTTACTTACTGAAGACAGGTAGTTCATAAACGGTACTCTACACTGCTGGATGAGTGGCCTGTCTGTAGGATACCTGCTTTGTCCATTAAGATCAAAGGGACACTATAGGCACCCAGGCCACTATATCTAATTGATTAAACTGCAATTACCCTGCAGGACTAAGTCTGCCTCCTGCGGTTATCTATCACACAGCCACTAGAGGTGTTTCTGGGATTCTAATGGACTTCGAGTCCCTTAAACAATGTTAATGTCATCACACTCTGCATGAGGACATCCAGCATCAGTGAAATCCCCATAGGAGAGCATTGAGGCATGCGCATTAGGTCCCCAAGTTGGATGGTGTCAGAGGAGGCGCAGCACTGTCCAAAGCCGAAGAATATCGATGCTGGAATCTGGTGAGTGCCTAAAGTGTTCTTAACTCTTTAGATGCTGATGGGAGACTGTGAGGGAAGGGCCAGAGGGCATTATAGTGTAAGGAAAACAGATTTGTATTCATAACACTATAGAATCCCTTTTATTCATGGTCTCCTATCTTAGTAATACAGTTTCAACAGATTTATATAAATTATTGGACAAATATCCATGGTACACAAGTTAGTTATTATCACTTATTCACCTTAAAAATGTTACCTTTCTAAACTTACTTCCATTTTCCAAATTACCTGCTGTGAAGCAAGTGATGTGAAATTATCACTCATTGCTATAAACTGCTCTGACTATTGTATCATCTGCTGTGAGTTTTATAAAATCAATGAAAGTTTATCTACAATGAACAAAATTATTATTTGCCCCCATTTTTCATGAGCTGAACTAAATCAAAGATCAAAGATCTACACAAAAGGCCCATTTCTCTCAAATATTCACAAATCTGTCTAAATCTGTGTTAGTGATCACTTCTCCTTTGCCGAGATAATCCATCCACCTCACAGGTGTGGCATATCAAGATGCTGATTAGACAGCATGCTTATTGCACAGGTGTGCCTTAGGCTGGCCACAATAAAAGGCCACTCTAGAATGTGCAGTTTTATCACACAGCACAAAGCCCCAGATGTCGCAAGTTTTGAGGGAGCGTGCA